AATGGTGGTGCAACACCCTTTATGGAACGTTGCTATTCGCCCCCCCCCCGCCCCCCCCGCCTTTGGCCGTGTGCCACCAATAGACAATGATGACTCGGTTCCCTCGCCCGCATGGGCCTGGGGAAGCGAGAAAGGAAGGTTTCTCGACAAAGCAGCGTCTCTCCCCGCCATCATGGCCGGCCAAGCACGCGCCAACGCCGGAGTATCTCGCACACAAGCCCGTCAACCACGCCGGAAGAGAAACAACCACACCACAGCAGCGTGACGACACGCAAGACACGAGCACGAGAATTGACGACCTTCGAGGGGAACGTACCCTTTGTCCCTACGCAAGCAAGCAACCCTCGCGAAAAGTCCGCCCAACAGCGGCAAACACGCGCAGCAAAGGGTTTGTCCTCGCAACTTGGACGGCAGGAGAGCACCGCCATCCCGCGCTTCGTGCCCCGCTCTCGCCGCCCTCTTCGGCCTTCGTGACTTATCGCAACCTTGCTCGACCGTGGGGAGAAAGTACAGCAGAGCAGACCGGTCGCATCTTTCCGACACAAACTCTCAGCAACGTCGTTCGTGAGACCCCTGAGATTAAACATGGGACGGATGACGCGGAGACGGGACAGCGGACGTTAATTACCGGCGACATAGGCGGGGAGGGCCGTGTACGGAATTCTGCCACTTCGGATCTACAGACCGTTGCATGCAGCGGGGCGGGCGGGACACGCGAGGCAGAGGCAGCAAGGGTGGTCGTTTTCAAACCAACGCCCTCAATTTTCCGGACAACGTTCCGCAAAACCCAGCTACAGGGCTTTTGCCCACACGCACGCACCGTCGTCGGCTTGTTCGAGGAGGACGAGGACGAGGAGCTGGGTCCGCCCTGATGGTCACCGTTCCAACCACCGTTCGCGCTTCCCCGACGGGCCACAACACCGCTACCGCCTCCGGCAGCGGCGGCAACGCTGCTTCCTGTGTTCTTTCTGATCTAAAGGTGGCACAAGACGACATCCAGGAAGCCCGTGTCATGGTAGTGCCTTGCTCACCGAGAAGACAGTTTCGGAACCTGCGAAGTCAACCGTAGGTTGGCGGCAAGCCGCACGTGAGGGTCGGGGGTACCCGGCTGCAGTATGCCGACGAGAAAGCACCAACACAGGCTGGACGCGATTGAA